TATGGCACCAAAAGCACAGGGAAGACGAGAGAGAGAGAGAGAGAGAGAGAGAGAGAGAGAGAGAGAGAGAGAGAGAGAGATTGGACTTCATTAAAATTCAAAACTTTTGTGCATAAATAGGACACTATCATTAGAGTAAAAAGACAATTCATGCAATAGAAATTTATATTTGCAAATCATATACCTGATAAAGTGTAGATGTCTAACAACTAGACAACAAACAAAAACAACTTGATAAATAATAAACAAAGAACTTGAATAGATATTCCCCCAAAGAAGATATACAAATGGGTGATAAACACATGAAAAAGTGCTCAACATCACTAAACATTAGATAAATGCAAAGTAATACCACAACAAAATACCACTTCACACTTAATGTATTTTGTATAATATATAAAACAAATAAAAAGTAGCACTAACAAAAACAAAACATAAAATATATTAAAAATGTGTTATGTTACATATTAAATGTGTCCTCTCAAAATTTGTATTCTGAAGATTAGAGATCGCGGTGGGCAGGACCAGAGGGAGGGTGAGTGTGTGAGAGAGTGTGAGTAGATGCGAAGCTGGACGACCAAACCCCTGCAGTGCAGACTCAGAGCAGAAGGTTCCTGTGCTGTGGACAGGAGCCGCGGCTACCACAGTAAGCAGCCCTTCGGGCTCTTCTCCCTGCCCCATGGGGAAGTCCCACCATTTTGGAAGATCCTGGATCTTCCCTGGGAGGAGGCAGTAGGAGCTGCTGGGCCCCAGCAACCTGAGCCCACCAGCACACCTGGTACCATCGGACCAGTGGACACTCTGTGTCAACACAGACCAGTGCACAGTAGTAGAGATCCCAAGGTGCCAGGAGCAGAAGCCTTGGACAGCCCGAGCCCAACACCATCCACCATAGTAGCAGCCCAATCAGAGTCCAGATATACCCCCAGCAACAGAGGCTGGGGAGCAGAAATCCATTCCCAGGCAACAGAAGCACAGACCAGCAGCAGAGACCCATGCCCAAAATAACAGCAAAAGCTGAGCAGGAGTTGAGCCCCACAAGGCAGCAGCACTCCCCAGCCACTAGCAGCGGGACCTGGGGCTCCACAGAGGCCTGTGCTGTCCAGTAGCTCACAAGTATAGTGGGAAGCCCAAGCCCAAGAGAGACTGGTGCGATCCAGCTGCCCGCCCGCGGGAACTGCAGAGAGCTGGGGCACCAGAGAGGCCTGTGAAACCCAGCAGGGACTGTGATATCCAGTTACCCTCGGGACCTGTGCTGTGCTGAAGCACCAGAGAGTCCTGTGCCACCCAGCAGGGACTGCCAGATCTAGTTACCCATGGGACCTGTGGGGTGCTGAGGCCTGTGCGACACAGCAGTGCACAAGACAGGCATAGAGGATGTGAAAAAGGAGGAGGAGTGAATAGAAACCATACAGACAATCTCCCAGGACCAAATGGGAATTACAACTAAAATAAAGACAAATCTTAAAAAAAAAAGCAACTGAAAAGCAGCAGGACAGGACCATATAACCAGGGATACTGGTAGGATCTGTGGAGGCACAAGAGGGTGGTGGGCTGGGAGCCCACTGACAGCAGCAGTCTTAGCTGTGAGCAGTGCTCTTGGGGAATAAAGACCAAGCCCGCTCCACTGTCCAGAGAACCAGGACAGAGCACTAAAATAGCCACCACCACTCACCTGGGGGCTACAGCAGAGGGAGGGCAGACTGGGCTGGAACTCTGTGGGGAAACCCAGTATTTGGAGGGCACTGAAAGTTTTTGCTGAGTTTCAGCCATAAAGGACAGTGGACAGTGTACCCCTTTCCTGAGCTGTGGGGAAGAGTAGCAGCTCCCCCTCCCTCAGAGATTTAGCCATTCCAAGGTGAAGCAAAGAAATGAAAATTGAGGCCTATTAACAACCAGCATCTATCCCACCCTCTGGAAATCCTCTTAGGCAGAGCACCAGGGTTACATTCGAAGGCACTGAGTAACTGAGACTACTAGCCAACAGGAAAAAGCGAGAGAATAACTGAACCTTTACTGGGCTTGCAAATCTACCCAGGAAGGTAAGAATTGACAGTGGTGTTTAACATGGGCCCATCCAGGACCACCCAAACCCAGTAGAGGGAGCCACAAACAGCAGAACACCAACACCCACAGGGAAAATTTGCCAGGCTCCAAAACCCACTGAGATAGCCAAAATGGTGAGACAAAGAAACAAATCCCAAATAAAAGAGCAAGAGAACTTTATCAAAGATAAGATCAGGGGAATGCAGCTAAGCAAATTATCAGAGGTAGAGTTCAGAGCCATGATCCTAAGAAAGCTCATCAGCATGAGAAAGGACATCAGCACCATGAGTAAAGATATAGAAACACTGAAAACCAACCAAGTGGAAATGAAGAATGACATAGCAGAAATTAAGACCACATTGGAAGGAATAAACAGCAGAGTAGAGGAAGCTGAGGACCAGATCAGTGAATTAGAAGACATGGTAGAAAAAATGAACTAATCAGAAAAACAAAAGGAAAAATAATTAAAAAACAGAAAGATAGCTTGAGAGAACTGTTGGACAACTGGAAACTTAATAACATTTGCATCATAGGAGTCCCCAAAGAGGAAAAAAATGGGCAATGTTTAGAGAATATATTTGAAGAAATAATGACAGAAAACTTTCCTAACTTGGTGAAGGAAGAAGGCATTCAAGTTCAAGAAGCACAGAGAGCCCCAAGTAAGAAGAACCCAAACAGGCCCACACCAAGACACATAGTAATTAAAAAAGTGGATAAATATAAAAGTGGATAAAAAAGTTGTGGTACATATACACAATGGAGTACTATGCAGCTGTAAGAAAGAAAGATCTCTTATCCTTTGAGACAACATGGAGGGACCTGGAAAGTATTATCCTAAGCAAAACAAGCCAAGCAGAGAAAGACAAATATCACATGATCTCACTTATTTGTGGAATATAATGAACATAACAGTCTGAGTAATGGGGTAGTCCCAGAGACGTGGAAGTGGGGTACAGACTGACAATCTTCTGAAGAGGGGGTAGGGGGAGAGATAAACCACAGAACTTATATGCATGTATGTATGAAGAATGGACATGGACAACAAAGGTGGGGACAGGGTGTGTAGAGAGGGGGAGGGGGAATCAGTGGGAGAAAAAGGAGAAATATCTGTAACAAAGTAAATAAATTGTATTCTGAAGCTATAAATCAGAAGTGTATGTCTATTTGGAAAAGTTTCTAAGGGATTAATTTAGGTTAAATAAAGGTCATAAAGTTAGGGCCATGATATAATAGGATTAGTGACCTGAAAACGGCACCAGGGTGCACCTTTCCCCCTCCAGGTGTGCACAAAAGAAAACCATGGTGCAACACAGCGAGAAGATGGCTGTATATAAGCCATGGAGAGAGCTCTCACAGAAACTGACTATTCTGCAGGTGTTCCCAGACTTGTAGCCTCTAGAACTGTGAGAAAATAAATTTATGTTGTTTAATCCACCCAGCCTGTGATATGGTGTAATGGTAGCCCAAGCAGACCAACACAGTGTGGATGTGAACAAATTTGAAATTTCATTGCTGTTGGGAATATAAGAATTGTACAGATGCTGTGGAAGACCGTATGCCAGTTCTCCAACTAATTAAACATAGAATTACCATATGATTCAACAATTCTACATGTGGGTATATACCCAAAATAATTGAAAGCAAGATATGAACTGATATTTGTGCACCGATGTTTATAGCAACATCATTCTCAATAGCCAAAAATGGGAAACAACCTAATTATATATTAATGGATGAATGGATAAACAACAGGTGGTATATACAAACAATAAAATATTGTTTTAGCCTTAAAAAGGAGTAACATTTCAACACATGCTACAATATGAACATGGATTGAGGATATTATGCTAAGTGAAATAAAGCAGACATAAAAAAGATATGTATTGTATGATTTCAACTATATCAGTCATCGAAAGTAGTCAAATTCAAAGAGACAGAAAGTAGACTGGTGGTTGCCAGAGAATGGGGAAAGGGAGAAAGAGAAAGTTTTTGTATTATGGGTACTAAGTTTTCGTTTGGGAAGATGAAAAGTGCTGGAGATGGATGGTGGTGATATTTGTACAACAATGTGAATATAGTTAATGTCAGTAAACATTAATGGCACACAATTTAAAAATGGTAAAAAAATACAATTTTTATAATACATATGCATATTACAGTGATACCTCGGTTCTCGAACATAATTCGTTCCAGGAGGACGGTCAAGAACCAAATTGTCCGAGAACCGAAGCAATGAAACCCAATAGGAAATAATGGAAACTGGATTAATTCGTTCCAAGCCCCAGAAAATGCCTATTTACTGGCCTAATTTGTATATAATATGTAGAAAAACATAAGTCTCAACAAGAAATAAAAGTGTACAGTATGTCTAAGGGTTAAATTCAGTGTAAAGCGTGACTCTCTCCACAAAGCGTGACTCTCTCCACAAAGCGTGACTCTCTCTCTGCACTCACACTGATGACGCAAGCAAGGCACACTGGGCCGAATGAACGCCATTCGGCTCAACTCGGCTCATCTCGGAAGTTCGAGTTCCAAATATTTGTTCGGATTCCAAGACAAAAGTTTCTCGAATCTCCTGGTCGAATACCGATTTGGTCGAAAGTCAAGGCGTTCGAGAACTGAGGTATCACTGTATTTTACCACAGTAAAAATAAATTATATTATGGTACAATTATTTTCATTTTTTGCAAATATAATCTATAAATTACATCGATATATTATGATTTTTTTACTTCCCAGAAAATCAAATATGTAAAGAAGGAAACATCCTCTCTCAGCCAACTATTAAGGGAATTATATTTCCTTGTGTTGAAAATGATAAGAGGAACTCAGTGACTTGAGTATAAGTTTTCAAAAAGTGGGTAGAATGATTTCTCTTGGTTCTCAGTCACCTATTTTTCTCACATGGTCCTGGTTGCTTAAGCAATGTGTATATTTCTCATTTCACAAGTTACCTGAGTGTAATTCCTAACTCTTCTTTCTTGATGTGCTGGTGCCCACTTGCCATACTTAAAATGTTTAGACTCATTGTACCAGGATCCAATTACTTGTGACCATGAGATAGGGTAAGGTGTCAAATATGTATTTTCTCCACAAAAAGTATCTGAAAGGAGGAAAAAGGGCTGAGTCATATTCTAAAATTTTGAAAATGCTTTATAAGAATGGTGTTCTTGTTTTTACTTTATAAATGATTTACTGGCCATCCAAGCAATGTCTTTTTTGTTTGTTTGTTTATGAATTTTTATTTATTTTTTTGTTACAGATATTTTACCTTTTTACCCCATTGGCACCCCCCACCCCACCCCACCTCCGCCCCGTCCCCGGCTTAGTTGTCCATGTCCATTGGTCATGCATACATGCATATAAGTTCTGTGGTTTATCTCTTCCCACACCCCACCCCCCATCCCCTCTTCTGAGGGATGTCAGTCTGTGCCCTACTTCCATGTATCTGGGTCTACTGTATTCCTCAGACTGTTATGTTCATTATATTCCGTATATAAGTGAGATCATGTGGTATTTGTCTTTTTCTGCTTGGCTTCTTTCACTTAGGATAATACTTTCCAGGTTCCTCCATGTCGTCTCAAAGGATAAGAGATCTTTCTTTCTTACTGCTGCATAGTACTCCATTGTGTATATGTACCACAGCTTTTTGATCCATTCGTCTACTGGTGGACACTTGGGCTGTTTCCAGATCTTAGCTATTGTAAATAGTGTTGCTATGAACATGGGGGTACATATATTCTTCCTGATTGGTGTTTCAGGCTTCTTAGGGTATATTCCCAGCAGTGGAATCACTGGGTCAAATGGAAGTTCAATTTTTAATTTTTTGAGGTAGCACCATATTGTTTTCCATAGCGGCTGCACCAGTCTGCATTTCCACCAGCAGTGCACTAGAGTCCTCTTTTCTCCACACCCTCGCCAACACTTGTTGTTTGATGATTTGTTGATGGCGGCCATTCTGACAGGTGTGAGGTGATACCTCATTGTTGTTTTAATTTGCATCTCTCTGATGATCAGTGATGTTGAGCATTTCTTCATATGTCTTTTGGCCATTTGTATGTCCTGTTTGGAGAGGTGTCTATTCAGCTCCTCTGCCCATTTTTTTAATTGGGTTCTTTGTCTTCCTTTTATGGGGTTGTATGAGCACTCTATATATATTGGAAATTAACCCCTTATCTGATACATCATTGGCAATGATGTTCTCCCATACAGTGGGTTGCCTTTCCATTTTGATGATTGTTTCTTTTGCTGTGCAGAAGCTTTTTAGTTTAATGTAGTCCCATGTGTTCATTTTCTCCTTTATTTCTGTTGCCTTAGGTGATGTATCAGTGAAAATTCTGCTCCGTATGATATCTGAAATTTTGTTGCCTACATTTTCTTCTAGAATTTTTATGGATTCACGGGTCACATTTAAGTCTTTTATTCATTTTGAGTTTATTTTTGTGTATGGTGTAAGTTGATGGTCTAGTTTCATTTTTTTTGCATGTAGCTGTCCAATTTTCCCAACACCATTTATTAAAGAGGCTGTCTTTACTCCACTGTATGCTCTTGCCACCTTTGTCAAATATTAATTGAGCGTATTGCCTTGGGTCCATTTCTGGGTTTTCAGTTCTGTTCCACTGGTCTATATGCCTGTTCTTGTGCCAATACCAGGCTGTTTTGGTTACGGTCGCTTTGTAGTATAACCTGATATCTGGTATTGTGATCCCACCTACTTTGTTGGTCTTTTTCAAGATTGCTGTGGCTATTTGGGGTCTTTTTTGGTTCCATATGAACTTTTGAAGTATTTGTTCTAGTTCTATGAAATATGTCGTTGGTATTTTGATAGGGATTGCATTGAATCTATAGATTGCTTTGGGTAGTATGGACATTTTAATTATGTTAATTCTTCCAATCCATGAACAGGGTATGTGCTTCCACTTTTTTATATCTTCCTCTATTTCTTTTTTCAATGACCTGTAGTTTTCTGCAAATAGGTCCTTTACTTCTTTGGTTAAGTTTATTCCTAGGTATCGTAATTTTTTTGGCGCGATGGTAAATGGGATTGTTTTTTCAGTTTCTCTTTCTGTGAGTTCATCATTGGTGTACAAGAATGCCGTCGATTTCTTGACGTTAATTTTGTATCCTGCTACTTTGCCAAATTCATTTATTAAGTCTAATAGATTTTTGATGGAGTCTTTAGGGTTTTCTATGTACAATATCATGTCATCTGCAAATAATGACAGTTTCACTTCCTCCTTTCCAATTTGGATCCCTTTTATTTTTTCTTCATGTCTGATTGCTGTGGCTAAGACTTCCAGTACAATGTTAAATAAGAGTGGCGAAAGTGGACATCCCTGTCTTGTTCCTGTTCTTAATGGAAATGTTTTTAGTTTCTGTCCATTGAGTATGATGTTGGCTGTAGGTCTTTCATATATGGCCTTTATTATGTCGAGATATAATCCCTCTATTCCTACATTGCTGAGCATTTTTATCAGAAATGGATGCTGGATTTTGTCAAATGCTTTTTCAGTATCTATTGATATGATCATGTGGTTTTTATTCTTCATTTTGTTTATGTGGTGTATCACGTTTATTGATTTGCGAATATTGTACCAGCCTTGCATCCCTGGAATGGATCCCACTTGGTCATGGTGAATAATTTTTTTGGATCCTATTTGCTAATATTTTGTTCAGGATTTTGGCGTCTATGTTCATCAGGGATATTGGCCTGTAGTTTTCTTTCTTCGTAGTGTCTTTTTCTGGTTTTGGACTTAGAATGATGCTGGCCTCATAGAACGTGTTTGGAAGTCTTCCTTCTTCTTGAATTTTTTGAAATAGTTTGAGGAGAATGGGTGTTAGTTCTTTTTTGAATGTTCGGTAAAACTTCCCCGTGAAGCCATCTGGGCCTGGGCTTTTGTTTGCTGGGAGAGTCTTGATTACCTCTTCAATTTCCTTAGTTGTTATTGGTCTGTTCAAGTTTTCTATCTCTTCTGGGAATAGTTTTGGGAGACCCTGTGTTTCTAGAAATTTGTCTATTTCGCTTAGATTGTCGAATTTATTGCCATATAGTTGTTCGTAGTAGTTGTTAGCGATCTTTTGTATTTCCGTGGTGTTGGTTGTTACTTCTCCTCTTTCATTTCTGATTTTGTGTATTTGGATTCTCTCTCTTTGTTTCTTGTTGAGTCTAGCTAAGGGTCCATCAATCTTGTTTATCTTTTCGAAAAACCAGCTCTTTGTTTCATTGATCCTTTGAATTGTTTTTTTGGTCTCTATTTCATTTATTTCTGCTCTGATCTTTACTATTTCCTTCCTTCTACTTGCTCTGGGGTTTTCTTTTTGTTTGCTTTCTAATTCTTTAAGTTGTGAGGTTAGACAGTCAATTAGAAATTTTTCTTGTTTTTTGAGGTAGGCCTGGAGTGCTATGAACTTCCCTCTCAGAACTGCTTTCGCTGCATCCCATAGATTTTGTGGTGTTGTGTGTTCATTTTCATTGGTTTCCAGGAAGTTTTTAATTTCTTCCTTGATCTCCTCGGTGACCCATTCATTGTTTAATAACATGCTATTTAGCCTCCATGTGTTGAAATGTCTTTGCATGTTCTTGTTGCAATTGATTTCTAGTTTCATGCCATTGTGATCTGAGAAGATGCTTGATATGATTTCAATCTTCTTGAACTTGTAGAGATTTAGTTTGTGTCCTATCATGTGGTCTATCTTTGAGAATGTCCCATGTGCACTTGAGAAGAATGTGTATTCTGTAGTTTTGGGGTGTAATTCTTTGTAGATATCTATTAAATCCATTTGGTCTAGTGCTTCATTTAGAGTCTCTGTTTCCTTGCTAATTTTTTGTCTAGAGGATCTATCCAGTGCTGTCGATGGGTGTTGAAGTCCCCTGCTATGATTGTACCAAGCAATGTCTTATCAGAGGAAGCAAACGCAATTGCATCTCTACCAGCAATTTTTTTCTCTTTGATGAATAAACTTCTGGTGCTCAGGTTTGGTGAGTTGACAGTCCGAGATGATGTGCATAGCTTGGAAATCAAATCAAACAACATTTCATTCTCTGTCACCTCCAATCTGATGGAGAAGGGTGAAATCAGTCAGACCAGACTGTGAGTTGTAACAGGGACCATGGTTTGAAAACAGCCACATGGAGGTATTACTTGTGTAGGGTCTTTAAAATAAACATTTATTCATTCAATCATCCCACTTGTGATGTGAGCTCTTAATAAAGCATAGTATTCAGGAGTGATCTGCATTTCTCTAGGAAAAGGAAGACTCACATTGCACATTTACTGCTCAACAACATTTGGCAAAGATGCCCAATAATCTATAAATATGGAGGTTTTATTAGTATTTTTGAAATATTTCATAATAAACAAATATCTCATAAATATTATTAATTTCTACTTTAGTAGAGAGTAGTATTGGATTTCCTGGAAACTAACAATGATCCACCTATTATATATGCCATGAGATGGAGTAATTTTTGAGCATCTACAATTGTTCTTCTGGGAAGCTCAGTAGAGTTGCATATAGCTTCTCAACTGTTCTAATGTTCCAAAGTTAAGGTATGGTGATACTGTAGGTAGCTGAAATAATTACATAGAGTGGAAATCTTCTAGCTATCCAGTTGTCCATACAATCATCACTGTATTACTCAACTATTCTGTAACACTGAGAGTTTTGATTCTTTCCTTCTAATAATTAGAATCTGGAATTTGAAACATTGAATATCCAAATTAAAAAATAATAATAATAACAATGAAACAGTATAGTGGGCCACAATTCACTGTCATTTATGATAGAATGACTTAAATTACCTTTTCCAGGTTACTTAACAATCTTTGAGAACTTATGAGCACAGAGATGAGTCATATAGTCATATACCTACTTTTAATTCGCCTCTGAAATGCATTGCTCTCGCCTTCCTCACAGAACTTGGACAATTCTCTGGCATTTGCTGCAGCATCTTCTTCCCAACTCTACAGTGGAAGAGTAAAATCCAAACACATGACCTCAGACTCTCCGTAATAAGTCTCCAGTTTAATGTTTTAAGAATTCAAGGCTAGAAATATCCCAAATTTAAGTAATTTAAGATAATTTAAATAATTTTATCATTTAAAATAATCTAGTTGAAGGAGGAAGACAAAACTTGTAAGACATTGTTTTGGCCTTTATACTAACAAAATAGAAATTTGGCAAGAAACTTCAGGTGTAGCTTCTCTCTCAGAAGTAATAAAGAGGTTAAGTAAATACTTCCAGTAAAACATAGCAGGGTTAGTAATCCCTCAATCACTTATTAGTACATATTATTTAATCTTTTGGAATCTCAGTTTCTTTTTTTCCCTTTATTGATTTTAGAGAGAGAGGAAAGGAGAGGGACAGGGAGAGAGATAGAAACATCAATGAGAGAGAATATCTATTGGCTGCCTCCTGCGTGCCCCCCAGTGAGGTTTGGGCCCACAACCTGGGCATGTGCCGGGAATTGAACCGGCGACCTCTTTATGCATGGGTCAACGCTCAACTCCTGAGCCACATTGGCCAGGCTCAGTTTCTTCCTCTGTAAAATGTAACCCATAATTCATACTCAATAGTTTGTTCAAAAATTTTAATTTAATTCATGCAACACGATTGTGATAAGATAAATCTTATGCTACATGTTCAATAAATAAATGATGGCTGTGATTACATCTCCATATAAAATCATGAACAATATAAAAAATTATAGCGAATACTATACGCCAGGATCTGTTACCAATTTCTGTATGTATATTCTCTGGTTGTTTATATACATATTGTCATGCACTCCCCAAGTCCCTTTCTGAACTGAAGCACTTATTTCCCCTTAAACTGGGAGTCCTGCCCACAGACATCTCTACAACTGCCTGTCTTCTCTACAGTTGTTCTTATCCATGAGCATAATCCCTTCCTTGGGAAGCCCACATCCAATAGTTAGTGCATGTGGGAACTGTAGATGCCAGGCCACCTCCCTGTACCTCAGGACAACTCAGAAGGGTTGTCCTAGTTGTAAAGTTTCCCATGTGATTAGCTGAGGCCACTGATGGGACTGCATCACAATCCGACTCCTCCATACACCCAATGCTGCTTCTCTATCTCCCTCCATAGGTAGGTGCAAATCTGGAGATTGTTCCCCAGTAAACACCCTGCATGCTATTTCTATCTCAGAGTCAGTTTATCTTATTTTGTAAAGTACCTATAATATTCATTACATAGAGTCTGTTGTGCAGACCTCTTTAAGGAAGCCCTATAGGACCTTACCTCTGATTTATGTTGATAAGACACTCGGTTTCTGTGATACATCCCTGATTAAAGTCACAAGTGAGTATATGTGGTTATTGAACCAAAGCTATGAATTCTGGCTTTAACAAATGGTTCTATTTAACCAGCTCCTAACACAATATACAAACAGAAAATAGATTTGTCAATATTTGTTTTCTTGGCTTAGAATCTGGACTTCTTGATTCTTAGTAGAGTGCCTTCAGCTCTGGGTTGCTGCCCAGGGAAGACAGCTAGGAAAGGCTTCAGTGAGTTCTTAAGTGAAGTTAGCTATACTGATGACACTGGCAGCATCTGCGTCAGCTGGGAACTTGGGTGGTCTCCAGCCCAGACCTCCCAGCAGGGTCTTGGAGAGTGGGGCCCAGGAACCTGAGCTGTGCCGAGTTCTTCGGGTGAATCTTCAGCACACTCAGGTTTGAGGAGCACTGTCCTAGGGTGCATTATGGGTGAAGCCAGGCTGCCTGAGTCTGAATTGCTGCCCTGTCATTTATCAACTGTATGATTTGGGGAAATTTACCTACCTCCTCTGGGCCTCTGTTTCTTTTTCTGCTAGGCCGTAGGTTTGCTTGTGAAGACCAATTTTTAGCATATTGAAAGTAAATAGAACGTAATGAAAATTAAATAAACGCCATTGCTATTCTTGTCATCATTGTTATTGCTGTTTAATTAATCTTACCATTTTCAGCATGTTGCCGGCTGTTGGTTGTACTTTTCTCCTGAGGGCGTTGTGTAAATTAACAATTTCACTTTGGACAGTTAAATGATCAGTACGGACAGATTCATATGAAACTCTATCTAGAGGTTCCTGTTACCAGAAAAGTATTAATTAGTCTTATTTCATTTAAGTGGAATCTATGCACAATATACAGACCTATACACAATTTTAATTTATAGTTTATATTGAATAAATAATGATAAACAGCATTTTAAAATTTGTTGTCACAATGTATTAGTTTCCGTTTCTACAGGGCTGGTTGTCTACAGAATAGTACAATCATCTGCGATGGGGTTTTTTGAAATTTATATTTGGTACTTTGGACCACGTTGAAGCAGTTGTTATTGGGCAATATGAACCTCAATAGGATATGTCTTGGTAGTATTCCTTAACTGACTGACTTGACTTCCTTGGCTCATTCCCCACCACACCTCCAAGCAATCTCTTTACTTCCCAGATAAAACATTTACTCTTGATTCTTCTTTAAATGTATGTGTCTGGGACAACCTCGTGTAAGAGATTCACTATTGAATGTAAAGACTCAAGTGTCTTTAACTCAGATTTTATATATGTGTCTTATTCATATGAGAAAACATTAGTATTTTCATCTGTAAGTATAAAATATGATTCAAATCAGCTACAATCTAGAACTTGTGACTTTTTATAAATCTATTTACCTTTTATCTAAAACTCACTAAGAAGAAAAATAAATGTCCTTAATATTTTAGGTTATCATTAATTGCAATAAAGAGCAGCTTCTTTTCTGGATTTGTAATATATCACACATACTTCATATCCTTAAAAAAGTGGCTAAATATATCACATGTACTTCATATCCTTAAAAAAAATAAAAGGTATGATTTGAGCGATATCTATTTATTCCTCAACTACCACAGGACTATCAATATATTTTTTTTAATTTTTTTTATTAATTTATTTTTGTTACAGATGTTTCTCCTCCCCCTCCATTGACACCCTTCTCCCGATCCCCGCCTTCCCTGTCCACAGTATTGTTGTCTATGTCCGTTGGTTATGCACACATGCTTATAAGTTCTGTGGTTTATCTCTTCCCTCCCTCTAACCCCTCTTCTGAAGTTTGTTAGTTTGTACCCTACTTCTATGTCTCTGGGTCTATTTTATTTAACAGTGTGTGTTGTTCATTATATTCCACAAATAAGTGAGATCATGTGATATTTGTCTTTCTCTGATCCGATTGTTTCACTTAGCACAATACTCTCCTTTTCATCTCAAAGGATAAGGAATCTTTCTTTCTTACAGCTGCATAGTTTTCCATTGTGTATATGTACCACAGCTTTTTTATCCACTCTTCTATTGATGGACACTTGTGCTGTTTCCAGATCTTAGCTATTGTAAATAGTGCTGCTATGAACTTAGAGGTACATAGAGTCTTTCTGATTGGTGTTTCAGGCTTCTTAGGGTATATTCCCAGAAGAGGGTCAAATGGAAGTTCAATTTTTAACTTATTGAGGTAATACCATAGGGTTTTCCATAGTGGCTGCATCATTCTGCATTCCCACCAGCAGTGTACCAGAGCCCCTTTTCTCCACACCCTCCGCCAGCACTTGTTGTTTGATGATTTTTTTGATGGCAGCCATTCTGACAGGTGTGGGGTGATACCTCATTGTTGTTTTAATTTGCAGCTCTCTGATAATTAGTGATGGTGAACATTTTTTCAAATGTCTCTTAGCCATTTGTATGTCCTGTTTGGAGAGGTGTCTCTTTAGGACTTCTGCCCATTTTTTAATTGTGTTCTATGCTCTTGCCACCTTTGTCAAATGTTAATTGAGCGTATTATCTTGAGTCAATCTCTGGGTTCTCTGTTCTGTTCTATTATTCTATATGCCTTTTCTTGTGCCAGTAGCAGGCTGTTTTGATTACAGTGTCTTTGTAGTATAACCTGATATCAGGTATTGTGATCCCTCCTACTTTGTTTTTCTTTTTCAAGATTGCTATGACTATTCAGGGTCTTTTTAGTTTCATATAAACTTTTGGATTATTTGTTCTAGTTCTGTAAAATATGTTGTTGGTATTTTGGTGAGTATTGCATTGAATCTATAGATTGCTTTGGGTAATATGGACATTTTAATGATTTTAATTCTTCTAATCCATGAACAAGGTATATGCTTCCACTTTTTTTATATATTTCTCTATTTCTTTTTTTCAATGTCCTGTAGTTTTCTGTGAAGAGGTCCTTTACTTCATTGGTTAAGTTTATTCCTAGATATCTTAATTTTTATGCCACAATAATAAATGGGATTTTTTTTTATTTTCTCTTCCTGTGAGTTCATAATTGGTGTATAAGAATACCATCAATTTCTTTCTTTTTTTATTTCTTTAGTTTTTATGTTTTCTTATTTTTAATTATTTACTTACTTTTGTTATAGATGTTTCTCCTTTTCCCCCCACTAATGCCCCACTCCCCCTCCCTACACTGTCCCCAGCTTTGTTGTCCACATTCATTGTTCATGCATACATGCATATAAGTTCTGTGGTTTATCTCTCCCCTACCACCTCCTCTTCTGGGGATTGTCAGTCTGTAGATTAGTAAACATTCATGAAATCATCACCACCCTCAAGACCATAAACATATCCACTACCTCTTAAAGTTTTTTTCCACTCCCTTTATTATAATTCTTGTTATTATTTTGTGTATGTTGTAGAAACCCTGAACATAAGATCTGTCCTCTTGGTAAATTTTAAACCAGATATCCACATGTGAAAGTAGTAAACCAGACCTTTAGTTTGCACCACACATAAATAACAACTCAAAGTGGATTAAAGGCTTAAATGTAAGACCTAAAATCATAAAAGTCCTGGACAAAAATACAGGTAAAAAGTTTCTATTGGTCTTAGCAAGCACAGAAAATAAAAGCAAAAACAGACAAATGGGATTAAGTAAAACTAAAAAAGCTTCTGCACAGCAAAGGTAACATTATAATGAAAAGGCAATTTACAGAATGGGAGAAAATATTTCAAACCATATATTTCATAAGAGGTTAATTTCTAAAAATATCAGAGACTCATACAATCCAATAGTAAAAACAAAGCAAATAACTCCATTAAAAACTACTTCATTAAAAATCTTCAAACATTTTTTTTGTCTTAATTTTTTCCATTGACATTTCTTCTTGATGATGTTGCCTGATGTTATCTCGGAATAAATAAATAAAACTCTTGATTTATCTCACTTCCCCATTCAATCGTTGTTCTTGCTTTCTACCTACCTTTTTATCAAAGTTCCTGGAAAGATCACCAGCACTGGTTGTCTATAATTTCCTCCTCTCTAAGTAATATAGTATTACATTTACCCTCTCCTCATTTATTCTATTTAGCCAGTGGGTTTATACTAAGGGTGATATACCCTTTCCCCAACTTCCCTCTTTTCCCATCAGGCATTGGACAATGTCTATAGAAATTTTTGGTTGTTTTGACTGGATGAGGGAGAGCACTCTGCCATGTGGTGGATGGAGGTTAGTGATTATGCTAAACATTCTACAAGGCCCCAAACAGCCCCAAGTCACTAACAAACTCAAATTATAAATTCAATATATTCTTTAAATATCTTCATCCTATTTCATCTATTGGCAGCTAACTCCTTTGATCTGTCACTGTTTGAAACAGTTTTTTCATAGAGTAAGGGGGGACACGTTCTCTTCACCTTTCTCCTACCTATCATACTTCTCTTCCTTCACTTGGACTGACTGTGGCTACAGCCTGACCTTCTGCTGGCCTGGGAATTAGCACCTGCCCTATAGCTCTACTTTCTCCCTCTCATTCCCCTATCAGTCTTTCAGAGCTTATTCTCCAGTGATCGACCACAGTAAACATTTTAAAATACAGACACAATGAAGTTACTTTCCTGTTAAAAGTCTTCAACAATTTATGTCTTAGAAAGAACTAGCCTATGAAGACCTTGATGACTTCTCCACCTCTTTTTAAGACATGCTCCCCTCCTTTACTCTGCTTTAGTCTCAGTGATTTTATTTTAGTTATTCCAATGTGCTTGTTTCCATACTGCATCAGAATATTTGCCTAAACCTGTCCCTTTGTTAGTATGCCCTTTCAGTTGCTCTACTAAGTCCCGTTAATTTACCCTTTAGAGCTGAGGCCTTCCATGTCCTAATCACCAGAGAAGTCACTAATTACCTCCAACAAGTTCAAATCTAATTACTTGAATGCAACTTCCTATACTTTTTATTCAAAGTCCTTATTCTGTAACATTTACCAGAATAAGTAACTTTATATTGCAGTAAAACTTTAAATTGCAGTAAAAAAAAAAAAAGTATTTCTGTCCAATTAGACGTCTAGTATCCCAGTGAACTCAAACATTGAAGTTTAAAATACATTCGAGCCTGATGATCAGTTTATTTGCTTTCTGTCTGGAGTTTAAAAAATGAAGGTATCAAACACTGGTTCTGTTTGTTTGTTTTGGAGACAGATAGAAACAGCTTATTGTTTACTTTAACTGGGATTTGTGTGTTTGGAGCTCAATTTGTCTTATATTCATATTTTCATTTAAATTCCTAAATCCTTAATTTTCTAAGCAAACTGTCTATAAAATTGCATGCAAATGTTTCAATGATTATCATCCACCTGTGGACTGGAGACATGATGTTTCATCAGTCCTTCAACCCTTTGATATTTTACCTTTGTATTCTTGGTCAGTATTGGATCAGGCTCTTGTTCTACCTACCTCCTTTTTGACCTGGACTTTTATCTGTGATACTGATTCTTTCATTCACATGGCAACCTGGGCCAGGCTGTCTTGCAGAACTTAAGTGGCCTAGACCAGCTTAGTATTAACTAGGTCTTAAAGGCAAATGTAGCTTTCTCACTGTGTGCTTCAGCTTAGCTTTTCCTTACTGTGATGTGTGAATACCCTCCCTCCACATTGGGGGAGTGAAAATGGGCAGAAGATCAGAGGGAAGGAAGGAGAAGTCTTTGAGACTCTAATTCCAGCTTACTGGAGGATTCTTGGGTTTTGGAAACAGCTCCCCCTGGTTTCTCTTTGGGGAAAGTGTGTGAGTTACATGATCTAAGCCAACACCTCAATAGTCTAATGCATATGG